TGGTTGAGGAATAGCTGAAATTTTTTAGCACTGACTTTAATACCTGATTTTAGCCAACAGTTTTAAATGCCCTGGCGCAGTAAGGTGCCATGGGTACCATTTAAAAGTTAAATGAAATGAAATGGTCGTTTGTATATTCATTGATCTCCATTGATTGTAATGAACTGGAGAGCACTAATTCCAAAGCCTAGTGTAAAAAGTAAATTATTTTAATTTTAATTAATTTGATCAATATAAATATACTATATTTCATTGCTTAATATTTTAAATAAACTATTATTATAATATAATTTAATAATTTATATAATGGATATAATTAAACAATCGTATTAATTTGTAGACACAACGTATAAATAGTAGAACATGAATTATCATGGTGATTAACTTTACTTAAAGATTATACAATAGAATAATCTTATATAAATAAATCAATATAAACATGTTAATATAACGTTAAACATGATAATGTTAATCACAAGTATATAAAAATTATGAAAGTAAAAGTTGTAAATTGTTATTTGCATAAAAATTAATTGAATATAAAATAATACAATAAAATGATAATAAACAAAATAGTATTTAATTAAGAGAAAACAAATACATTATATTTATATAAATTCAAAATTAAATATACTCATTAAAAATTTATAACAAAACTTATCTATAAAACTCTTAAAATTAACCCAACAACATTATGGCAATTAAAATCATTCATTGCGTATTCCATAAGTTTTAATTAACCATGCTTTATGTTTTCCATACGCCATCAGTCTATCCTTCGAGTTCTCCTAAAAAAATAAACTAGATTAATAATCAATGGTAACCTAGGGTAAATCTAGTTGCACAAACCCAATAACCAAAAGCTTGTTGCGATGTGCGGGCCTGTCGTACGGCCCAAAGGGACCAAATCAAGTGCGCGACTAACGAGTAATAGTCTGCCTCACGGATCAGCCTGTCCTCCGTCTCACTCCCGGCGCTCAAATCGGGTGAATGTTTGATATAATGGCGCATAAAGTGTCGCTTCTCCTCATCGGTCGGATAGGCGTCAAAGTCTACCCGAGAGTACGGATAGTCGGGCGCCGAATAGTCGTACAGGTGTTCCGTGAAATGTGTGGCAAAATCAAAGCCCCTGTGGGTATATGCGGCGTATTCGTAGTCAATGAACAATAAGCCGTCGCCCCCATAGGCCAGGGGGTCGTCGCATATCAGGATATTTGCCGGCGCCAAGTCGTTGTGCGCAAACACTACGGGTGACCCGCACTCGGGCAGCACTCGCCTCAGCCATCGTAGTTCGCGGCGATAGTCATATGTTGTCATTTCCCGCTCCAGTTCTGGCCGCGGGTACCGCTGGGCGGGTGCGTCCGCACCGGTGGGTGTGAGCACTGATTGCACCCATTTTTCCATCGTGGTGAATAGAAAATCTGGTCGTTTATCTATGGGTACATTCATTGTGTGAAATACGGCCAACCGTTTGGCAATTTTGGCCATCAGTTCTCTGTCCTTAAGCTCTGGCGCTGTCATTGACCGAGACTTTTGTTGTTTCAAATAAGGGTTTTGGGGGTAGAAATTATTTATTACTTTTTATTATACTTAACTTTTAAATTAACTTAACTTAAAAATTAAATCAATTATGATTTAACTTTAAAATATTTTACATGTTGAATTTAACTAAAAAGGCTATAATTTAAATACAAGTATTAAATAAATTACGGTAATAATAAAACATGTAGTAAATTACATACGGGTATAAACTCCTCGAGTCGGCCGCCGGGAAATACACCATAGAGTTTGGGACCCAAACCCCGTTCAGACATTAGTAATGTTATGAGAGTATCGGTAACCTTATAGTCGTCGCCCGGGATTGTAGTCCCGATGCCGTACAGTCT